CCCCTCTCCGGGCTGCCCAGGGAAGAGGACGGGCCGGAGACGGGAGTAACGTGGCCAGGCCGCCCTCCCGGCGAGTCTGGGCGGCTGTTTGCTCCCTGGAGAAGAACACGCCGTCAGCAGCGCAGGGACACTTGAGAACCACGACAGTCTAATGTCAGGGTTTTCTTAGGCCTCACAGCAGTGCCTCGCTCCTCCCTCTCGTTTCCCAGAAGCGGGACAGCATCCTTCAAATCCCAGTTCATAGGCAAACAGGTTAGAACGTGTGAATTTATCTGAGTTGGAGAAGCTGCAGGGTAGGTTTCCCTTACGAAGCCAACGCTGACGGGGGCGCGGGGGGGGGCTCCTATGCTGCAGACGTGGGTTGGAGACAGATGCTGATGGACGTTAGGAGAGCTGGACCGAAATGCTCCTGGTCATCCGCAGACCGTTCCCCATTTCCGCTGAGAATGACCGGTGCCCATCTGTTAAAGGAGATGACCAGCCCCACGCCACACTCAGAGACAACGCTCAGTGCACAGTAGCCATAGTTATGATTATCCCCGGGTGCAGTCGGAGCTGAAGAATAGCCTGGCTGCTCCTACCGATGAAGACCCTTATGCAGAGTTAAAAGCAAAATGAGCGGTTGATTTAAATAAATGTTAAAAAATTAAAACCCTCATTATTTGTCACAATCCTACAGATCCCGTTTCAGATCCAACTTTATGGAGGTGTAGCAAAAGGCCCAGGTTCCTCATCTTACTCATGGGTTTCAGATCCAGGGTCTCAAGGTCATTACCGGTGACTTGATTATTGAGTAGTCTGCCTCTAATATAAATGCAGTTGATTAAATGGCCTAAGTCTTTATTTCAAAGGTTGAAAAAAAAAACAAAAACAAAAAAACCCAAACCATTATATTGGCTGCACCTTCATTTCTAGCCTTCCCTGGACACCTGGCCTGCCGTGTGTCAGGAGCTCAGGTATGTTGAGAGGTAAGGGGGCAGAAGTGTGAGGCAGGGACATGAGGATGTGTCTCAGGAAGTGGGAGGAAGAGAGTTAGTTAACGCAGCTCTCCATCTTGAAACTGGGGTCCTATACAATAGGGAGTTTCAAAAGGAAGCCGGGAACATTTCAGACCATGAAGCTGAAGCCCTTTATGTGAAGGAAGCTGCGCTGAATTCACACTTTGGTTATGAAATAGAACAGCACAGGCTATTTTAAGAATATTGATAATATCTAGTGTTGATGAGGATTTTGAGAAGTGGGTGCCTTTATATACTATGTTTATGCATTGTTGGTCGTCATATAAAGGGATACACTCTGGAGGGCACATTGGCAGTTCTCTGACTGTGTACAATGCACATAACCTTTGACTCAGCAAGTCCACTTGTCAGGAGCCATTGGTAAGAAATGTAAAGTAGAACTCTCATTGGCCTGGAAAGGTGGACAACATATGGTAGGTGACAAAAATAAGTTACAGAACAATGTGCTTGGTCTCATCCCTTATGACAAATCAAAAATGAAAGTATTTTTGAGTATATGTGGGAGGAAAAAAAAATAAAAGAAAGGTGTGTGCTGAAGGAACTGAGGGTATGGAAGCAGCAGCATGTGACAGGCCAGGTGTGGAGGAAGCCATGTTGAGTTTAGGGTGAACAGGCAGTGAACCGGAGAAGTCAGCAACGACCAGACCTGGATGTGCCTTGCAGAATGGGAAGCTGTTGGAGGATCCTGACCAGAGCTAGGACAGAATCAGATTTACATTGTATTATTATTTCTTAATATGTTTTTATTGATTTCAGAGAGAGGGATAGAAGCATCAATGATGAGACAGGATCATTGATCGACTGCCTCCTGCACACCCCCCACTGGGGACTGAGCCCGCAACCAGGGCATGTGCCCTGACCAGAATCGAACTGTGACCTCCTGGTTCATGTGTTGACACTCAACCACTGAGCAACACTGGCTGGGCAAGATTTGCATTTTGGAATGATCCCTCTGGCATCATTGAAACAGGCATGGCTTGCGTGGAGCAAGAGGCCAAGTTGCCAGCCAGGCCTGAAGTAAAGAGGGCCCTGGGCAAGGATGGAGAGGAGTGGACAGGTTCTAGAGACACTGAGTGGAGAGAATCTATAGGAGTTCAAGATGACTGAACATGTAATGAGGGTAAGGGAGAGGGAAGGGCCAGAGCTGACAGATTTCAATCTTGGGATGTTGGGTGAAGGTAGGGCCATTTACTGAGACACAGGGAATTCAGAAGGAACATGTATGCACCAGAGTTTGAGAAGCCTGATGGAGGTAGGAGACCAGTAGGCCACAGATACACAGGCACGGAGCTAAGGAGTGAGGTCCAAGTGGAGAGCCAGCTGTAGCCAGGAGGCAGTTAAAGCCATCGGGAGAATGAATGGTATGGGATGGTCCTATATTGTACAGGGCTGGAATAAAACCTAACAGAACACAACACTTAAGGGGTAGAAAGAAAAATCCAAGAGCAGCCCTGGCCAGTATGCTCAGTGGTTGGAGCATTGGCCTGTGCACCGACGGATTGCAGGTTTGATTCCTGCTCCTGGTTGGGGCGCATGCAGGAGGCAACCAGTTGATGTGTCTCTCTCTCACATGGATGTTTTTTTTTCTCTCTCCCTCTTCCTCCCTTTTACTCTCTCTAAAGAGAAATGAAGAAAAAAAAAAGAGAGAGAAAAAAAAGCAGGAGCAAAAAAGAAAAAAAACAACAACCCTCAACAGTTGAATGGTATGGGATGGTCCTATATTGTACAGGACTGGAATAAAACCTAACAGAATACAACACTTAAGGGGTAGAAAGAAAAATGCAAGAGCAGCCCTGGCCAGTATGCTCAGTAGTTGGAGCATTGGCCTGTGCACCGAAGGATTGCAGGTTTGATTCCTGCCCCTGGTTGGGGCACATGCAGGAGGCAACCAGTTGATGTGTCTCTCTCTCTCACATGGATGTTTTGGGGTTTTTTTCTCTCTCTCCCCCTCTTCCTTCTACTCTCTCTAAAGAGAAATAAAATTAAAAAAAAAATTAAAAGCGAAAGCAAAAAACCCGAGCACCTTGGGGATGAACCATCACGCTGGGCTTGGTAAGAGCAGAAAGATAGAAGGTACGTGTGTCCCTGATGACACTGCTGAGCCATCAGATTAATCAGCCCTGGAGATGCCCCAAATCCGGACCTCTTAAAATGTGGGATGTACATTTCCTTGTGGCGTAAGCCAGTGGTTTTCAACCGGTGTGCCAGAAGAAGTTTGAAAACATGCAATAGCTGACTATTTAGTCAGGAGCACTGACCCCTTTTCCCTTAGATTGTCAAATAAAACAATGACAAAGTTTTGTGCAGTGGCACTATTGTTAGCCAATAAAGTTTATCCAGGGCGCGATTATTGCTAATTGAAAGAAAAAGATATGACAGTCGCCAGCACAATAGTTGTCTGGTGTGAATGAATCAAAATGATACCAGTCATTTTGTCAGATTGGCAAAATATATATATTTTTGGTGTACCACAGAATTTTACTAATTACTTTGTGTGCTATGAGATGAAAATGGTTGAAAATCACTGGTTAAAGCTATTGAATTTGGACTCTTAATTTTTTACTTGTAGCTGCAGACACAGACAAGGGGAAGGATAGTGCGAAAGCGTAGGAAGGAGAAATTTCCAAAGAGGTGGCATCAAAGACTGGAGGGAGTTGGAGTAAGATGGAGATGGGAAAGGAACCTTTGAATATGGGTGAACATGGTGACTTTGGTGAGGATAATAACCCTGGGCCATGAGAGAATAAAACAGATTCCAAAAGGTTACTTACCCTTATACATAGTTGGCACTAATGGAGACTTGAGGAATCATAAAATAGAGACATGAATGGGAAATAAGGAGGTGAACAGGGACTATATAGACTTTAAAATGGGGGTTTTAATCTGGGGCCCACAGGTCCCCCCAAAGATCTGTGGATGAAGTGCAGGGGATCCATTAATTTAAATGGGAAACATTTTGATTGTTCACTCACCGCCAACTAAAATGTAGCCTTTCCTTCCAGTAGAACTGCAGGCATCACACCTCAGTAGTATTAGCAGCACCTGTGACTTTGCCACCTATAAAAATCACAGCTATTTTAATATGACATTACAATTTGATGCATATGTTGCAAAATTTTGTTTATAGTCATCACTACTCATCGATCAGCCGCCTCCTGCACATCCCCCACTGGGGATGCGCCCGCAACCTCGCCGCATGTTTAATATGACATTACAATTTGATGCATATGTTGCAAAATTTTGTCGCTCTATCCACTGAGCCAAACCGGTTTCAGCTCCACTTCAAGATTTTTTGTTTAATGCATTAATAATGGGCACACAAAAATAAAAGAAAGAAGCACATGTAGTACTATGTCACAACGTTTAAGAATATATTGTGACAACTGCATTTCAACATAATTGGTTACCATGGTAATTCTATGAATATTGTTGCATGCACTAAAAAACATGATCTGCCAGACTGCCAGAGGCTTTCTCAGTGTGAACAAGGTTAAGGACTCCAACTGTAAAGGCAAAGAGAGAAGGGGAGATTTGTACCCCAGATATGGGAGTGCAATGTATTAGGAACATTGCTTTTTAGAACATAGGAGAGACTTCCATATTGTGAAATACTGAAGGGACAGAGAGAGGACTTTGAGAGCCAAGGTCCCTGAGGATGTTGGAGCTATTTGGATGCAGGGCTCAGGTGGAGGGATTAATACAGGAAGGAAACTTTTCCCACAGTAAAAGGGAGGAAAGGATGAGTGTAGATAAAAATAAGTGTTTTCAGTGGGGTGGGAGTGGGGGCAGGAAGTTGAGGGGGATTCTGCCTGACGGCTTCTATTTTCACAGTGAAGTAGGAGTGAAGTTATCTGCTGAGAGTGAGAATGAAAGGGGAGGTGACAAAGGTAGGGAACAGAAAAGAGGACTAACAAGGACGAGTAGAAGGACTACCAGGTCAGTGGGTGGAGAGGGGTGGGGCAGTTAGAGGCCATTGGTTGTCATGGCAACAGTCTGTGTGGGTGTGAGTGTAGGAGTCGGGGCAGAAAGTCAACTAGAGCCGGGGCTGGAATTTTACCAGGAGGATCAGGTGAAGAACAGGAGTAAAGGAAGGATGGATCAAATTGTCCAGGCTGCGTGGAAGGAATGTGCAGCTAGGAAGGGCTGATAGCTTAGGAGAGTGACGTCAACATTGGGAAGAAGAACGGGAATGAGAAAGCGGAGATGCAGGCGCTGGTGGTCCAAGAGTGAACCAGCCCAGTCTGAGGGTGAGGAGTGGTTGCTGAGGTCTGTCCACACAGTGTGGTGACGAGCAGAGAAGTAGTAAAGGGCATCGGAGGTGAGGCGGCCAAGGAACAGACAGTCCCGTCAGGACCATCCTTATGGATGTCCAAGTTCTCTAGGACGAAGGTGAGGCTTGGAGTGCAGAGGAAAGTCTGAAGAGTGTGGAAGAGTGATTCGAAAGTAGGTAGTAGTAGAGTGTGGTGGGGTTGCATAACTTGGGCCTCAAAGGAGGAGGAGGGTAAATAGTAAGGTAAATAGCAATTGTTTAAAAGTATCAGTAGTAGCCGTAACCGGTTTGGCTCAGTGGATAGAGCGTCCGCCTGCGGACTGAAAGGTCCCGGGTTCGATTCCGGTCAAGGGCATGTACCTGGGTTGCGGGCACATCCCCAGTAGGAGATGTGCAGGAGGCAGCTGATTGATGTTTCTCTCTCATCGATGTTTCTAACTATCTCTCTCCCTTCTTCTCTGTAAAAAATGAATAAAATATATTTTAAAAATAAAAATATAAAAGTATCAATAGTAATTGTTTAAAAGTATCAATGAAGAGAGAAAAGAATGCCTACCCACCCATGCTCCCGCTGTGTAACCAGAGCTTCACACAAAATAGCTCGCCTTTTTAAGAGGCCTGAGAGTATCATACAGTTTGGACTATACGTGATCTAGTACAGTGGTTTCCAACCCCAGAAAACAGTTTCCTCCCATGCCCCACCCCAACCAGGGGACATCTACAAACCAGCAGAGGCCTGTTTGGTTTAACACAGTGGTGAGGGTGGACAGTGCTGGATTTGGTACAGAGAGCAGAGATGGTAAATGGCCTGCAGTGTAGAGGACAGTCCCATATGGTGAGGAATTGTCCTGCCCCAAATGCCAGTAGTACATCTCCTGCACTTTATGGATGAATGAGAAGACGAGGGTTCCGAGAGCTGAGATGTATACTTATGTTTTGGAGCTTCTATAGTCTTGATATTATATTAAGATATTGAGATCTGATGTCTATGTGTGAGGTCACTGTGGTAGAGACTGTTGGTCTCAAATCCAAGCCTCTTGCCCTAGTCACTTCCAAAGATGAGCCTACAGCTGCCTCCGTTCTGGCCAGTGGTATGTAAGCAGAAGTCATGGAGTGAATCTCCTGGGAAAACCTTTTCAAAGGGGCAAGTGTGAAGCCAGATGCTCTGCTCCGCTCTCTTCCTTTCTCTGCTCTCTTCCTGTTGCTTGGAACTTGGTGCAGCAGCCGTCTTGTGCTTATGAATACAAAAGCCATACATTTGAGCCCTAGCCGGTTTGGCTCAGGGCATAGAGCGTGGGTGCCCGCTTATTAAAGGGTCCCAGGTTCAATTCCCGTCAAGGGCATGTACCTCGGTTGCAGGCTCCAGGCCCTGGTCCGGGGCATGTGGGAGGCAACCAATTGATGTGTTTCTCTCACATCACTGTCTCTCCCTCTTCCTTCCACTTTCTAAAAATCAATGGAAAAATATCCTCGGGTGAGCATTCACACACACACCCACACACACACACACACAAGCCACACATTCAAGATGGTGGAACACAAAGAGAAAAAGGCTCTGCGTCCTTGATGGCCATGTGTCCTTGACGACTTCCTAATAAGTGTCTCAACCCTGGACCGCCCACCTCCAGATTAACCAAGTGAGACAAATAAACTATTCGTCTGAGCTACTGTTAATGAGATGTCCTGTTCATTGCAGCTGAATGCTCTTCTACCTGATGGAGTCATAGGGCCAGTTAGTAACAGCTGAGGCCGAACCCTGATTTTTCTCTCTCGTAATCTACATTTTTGGCCCTAAAATGTATGACCTTAGCCCTCATTCCAGGCTGCCTCCGAAACACATTTTGCTAGGACTGTGTGCCATAAAATGTATTTAACTTTTAAACATCTTCATATTCTTTCAATGTACTTTCCAGGAAAGTAGCTTTTTAGAAAGATACACATGTCTCTAATATGTCCATCATTTGCTACACTCCTTTGTGTAGAACTGAGCTTCTGCCCTGTGGCCGCTCTGCATTGCAGTGTTGGTTTCTCGGCCGTCCAGTGACAGGATGCTGGAGCTGGATGGACATGGAGATCATTGAGGAATTAGGCCTTGCCAGTGTTTCCCCCTCGGTATTCACATAGATGTGCAGCACCCCCAGGGAAGGGAAGGGAAGAGGCAGTTTGCTGCGGGCAGGGCTGCTCGGAGGCCCCAGGCACAGGCCAGCACCCCTTTTAAGCACCCTCATCTATGTCAACTTTTCATTCTACGAATGAGAGAATGGAGGCTCGTTTCTTTTAAAAAAATATGTATTTGCATTATGTACACATAAAGGTATTATTGTGCATGGTCTGTATTTTCCCTTCTTTTATTATGAAAGTTGTGCTTTTCCCCTTCTTGTGGTAAATATGATTTCTGTTCGACTCATGATATATTTGTGTTGGTGCTTTTGTCACAGTTCCTTTTTAGGATCCTATTGTCCCAGCCATTTGTTTGGTGCTTCTGTGTCTTCACAGGTTTGTCTTTTTTTTTCTGATGAGATTTAAAAATATTTCCAATATGATAAGATATTGTATTTCCTGCTACTGCTTTGGTATATTGTTATATTTCATAAGTTGATCTCATTAAGCATCTGGGATTGAGTTATTATTAATTTATTTCTAGAGCTTTCATATCCTCCTATATAATAAAAGGGTAATATGCAAATTGACCGAACGAGAAGGAATGACCGGTTGCTATGATGTGCACTGACCACCAGGGGGCAGACGCTCAACACAGGAGCTGCCCCCTGGTGGTCAGTGTGCTCCCACAGGGGGAACGCTGTCAGCCAGAAGCTGGGCTCATGGCTGGCGAGCAGCTGGCAAGCACAGCAGTGGTGGCGGGAGCCTCTGCTGCCTCAGTGGCAGTGCTAAGGATGTCTGACTGCTGGCTTACGCCTGTCAGACATTCTCCAAGGACTCCTAGACTACTAAAGGGTGCAGGCTGGACTGAGGGACATCCCCCCATACAGTGCACAAATGTCGTGCACCGGTCCTCTAAAAAAAAAAAATAAAAAAAAATATATATATATATGAGAGAGATTATTTTCTTTTTTTATAATATGTTTTTATTGATTTCAGAGAGAAAGGGAGAAGGAGAGAGGGATAGAAAGATCAATGATGAGAGAGAATCATTGATTGGCTGCCTCCTGCATGCCCCCTACTGGGGATTGAACCCGCATGTGCCCCTGACCGGAATCAAATCCGGGACCCTTCAGTACACAGGCCAATGCTCTAGCCACTGAGCAAACCCAGCCAGGGTCCAGTAGTGCTTTTTATTAATGGTTTTCGTTTGTCTTGGAGCTCTTGTTTCCAGTCCTGGCCTGCCTGCCCCTCTGGCTCCTCACCTCCTTGTTTATGACTGTGGTTATTGGCCCTAGGCCTCTGCCGGTCTCGGACAGTCCCTTTGTGCAGGCTTGTGGGACAGGCGGGTCTGACTGTTCTGAGATTCCCCCTGTGAAGACTGTCAGAGTCCCTTCCTTTGCCTACTTCA